TTATCTTGGCCACTGAAAATTATACACTTTTTTTTTTTAATCCAACCATGCTATTATTCGCAATTTGGTAAATAGAGGAGTTAATCGGTTCGGCATCTGAGCGCCTCATTATTACTCTTGTGTTGTTATCAACAAAATAGATTTAATAACACGGACGATTATGATAATATTAATAACAACAATAATAATTATTATTCTATTACGCCGCCTCTGCAGCTGTGTGGTTTTGTGTATTCAAGTAACGGCTCGTTGTCGCCGTCCATTGTCTTCGATAGTTTCAAAATTATCCAAACACAGAAAAGCCCGACCGCCAAGTTTGGGTTTCGTTTCTACTGTCCCGCAAGCTTTCTATTATTTGACGAACAATCGGTGTTATTTTCATCGCCGGCAAATAGCATTATTATATTTCTGACAGCCAAACGACCTAGACGGCAACGCCGTGTTGGCCAATGAACACAATAATTGACAGCTGATGTTATCCAATATGTGTGTAGAACGACCACCTGTCGACGGCCAAAAACAGCTTGACACGGTACATTATATCCGAGGGCCTACCGTACAAAAGCTTGTTGACGCCAATTCGTGTGTGTATGCACACTCATGATTATGATCGTGTACATAGGAGTCTTAATGTTACCGTGCCTAAATCTTAATTTTCATATTATCGTAGTCGATGGTGAAAAAAAATTGAAAAAAAAAAAAACACACACAAAAGTAACACTTAAACTAACCCTAAAAGTTGCTAAAAAAAAAAAATGGTTTTTTTAATAATAATTGAGGCGCTCTGAAGCCAAACCGATTAACTCCAAAAAACGAAATTGTTCAGGACAGGCAGTGAAAGTTATTTGAAACAATGTGTGTAAGTACAATTGCCAATTTTCTTAGCGCAATCTGGTGGTGAAAAATTCAACTATGGAGTTATTTATCTCGGCCACCGAAAATAATACACTTTTTTAATCCAACCATGCTATTATTCGCATTTTGAAAAAAAGTTGATAGCCTCGATTATAGCTTTTATTCGGAAAAAATTACAATCTCTACAAAACTAATGTACAACAAGTAAATAAGATGATGGAATAACAAATAAGACATGAACTTGAGGAAAACTCACATTAGAGTCCCCGTTGTACATTAGTAAAATAAATGTTTAATAATTATTTGTCGTTCCGTTTAATGTACTTAAGAACTTTACGTTTATTATGTAATTATTAACAGTTGTTTTTTTAATTTTGAAGTCGGTTAAAAATGATTATATACCTTGCTACGTGCGTTTATTTTTGTTGCAGAATAGGAAATGAGCTCACAACAAAATGCAGTGTACTTCAATATTTGTTATTGTATATATTTTTTTGGTTTACTTGGCACCGACTTAAAAACTACATAAAATATCAGAATTTCTTAATTACATTAAACGGAACAACAAACAAGTATAAAATTGTAGTACAAAACATTTATTTTTGCTTTTTAATTGACTTGTGTTACTTCTGTTTGTGTTTTTTTTTATTCCTTTTTTAGTATTATGAATAGGTAATTGTAAGCTTTTGATATCGATAAACATCATTGTAAAGGCAAAAATGTGTAAATAATTGTCTTTCGCTTTATTTTAACCAATAGGAAATACCGTTTCAACTGTAAAATGATATTATTTTTCAGAGACCTAACCTAACCTAACCTAACCAACCTAACCTGTTGACTGTCGGGTCGACTTTTTTTTAAGTATTAAAAATAAGTTTGACTACAGAATTGCAAGTTGAAATATTTACAAAATGTAATAATAATGTTTGGAAAGTTGTTTAACATTAGGTGTCAGTACTGACTACTGTTATATATTATGTAAAAGTTTAAATAAATAAATATAGTAAAATGAAGTGGCAAATATTTGAGTGTACTTTTTAAAGTAATACCCTAGCTGGAATATCATTTGAAGTCATTACCTTGTGTCAATAATAACGTATAAATTATATTTATATTTGTGCTGTTGAACTTATTATACCCAAATAATGATAAAATGTACATTTAAATTTGTTTGAAAAATCAAAAACATAATTATATTATATTTGGTAGATAAAATATGAGGTTTTTTCTGTATGTTATCAATTAGGTGGATTTGCTTCCACGTGAGACTTACCAAGTCGACTAGCAGTAAGTGTGCATTGTGAAAACATTCAAGTTGTGTATTTTAAATTAGTACAACTAGTTTTGGGGATAGTTTTCCTTAACAGAATATTTTAGAATTTTCATTTTTGCATTCATAATTGATAACGTTGAAAACGGCTAGACGCTAAATTATGCTTTTTCGATTTTAATTTTATAATTCTATATTATTAACATAAGATAATAGGGCAACAACAAGGTTGTTTTGCGTCGGATATCCTATGTTTTCTTATTTAATTAAACGTTACAATTAATTACCATGTACTCTATTGTTTTCCTGTGGCAATAGAAGAGTCAACGTACCGACATTATATGGTAGAGTTTGTTATTTGTTTACATATTTATTTTGCAGAAACGGAAATAACCGATTTGTGGTTACCATTGAAATATGGAAACTTCAGTGGTGATATTATTAAAAAATAAAAACAATTTTCAAACTATATTACTGTTGGTCGTACGATTCCTATTGGAAATTAACGTTCAGGAAGTTTAAGCAAAACGTTTAAATGTATTATTGTATTTGTATTTGACCAACAAAAACGAAGATGTCTCGCAAGATAAATACCATTAGGGCTATAACGGCGGCCTTGAAGGAATTACGAGCTACTCGGTTTATTATACCAGAAATCTCAATTGTAATTCACTCCTAGGCACAGCGGTTAAGTATATTATTGTAAATGCCCGCCTTGGAATAATGCCAAAAAAATGCGCTTAAGGTTTGAATCGCTCAATTTCTTTGGAGGAAAACACTTAACGGGTTCACGGCCAACTTTATGCTATAATTATTGTAGAAAATGAGCGAATACGCTGTTTTTCGTCCCCAGTGAAATGCTTAGGCGGTTTTCAAGGGCAAAGAAAATATATTACACATTTCCAAATCACAATTTCTCACTCAAATCTCTTTCACTTCAACGCCTTTCAGACATTATACTTAACTATTATAATTCACTGCACAATTACCTAAAACGTTAGTACATTACATTTCTCAAAATATCCATAAGTCCAAAAATGTAGTTGAGTTTCTGTTGATTTTTTTTTTACCAGGGTTGAAAATCGGTCTACAGTTAATATATGTTATCATAATTTTACACCAATAACATATTATAGTGTACAAATATAGATTAAAAAAAAAAAAAAATTGTATCGACCATTACTTTTTGTCAATTCCGTTATAACCGGATAAACGAGACTCTGCGGTTTTATTTCCCCAGCTAGTAACATATGAATTTACAGCCTTGAAAGGTTGTTCGTTATAAGAAGAAAAAAAATAAATTTTAAAATTAAACCGAAAATATTTGACACAGTGCTAAAAAGACATTTCGTCAACGCAACTTGATAAAATATCATGTCATAAAGCGAGTATCGTCATAATTGGTTTTAGATACATAACAATATCTGGTCTCCGATGTGTACTTATACTCAACAAAGTACTTTCTATTCAGAACCTAACCTGAAATAGAAGAGTTAAAAAAATAGCCTTAACAAATTTTACCCTTAAAATAATACGGACTTGTGTCTCGTTCTGTTAAAAGTTAATTGAACATTCAAAGTTACCATTTAAGTGTTAAAAGTCAATAGAACTCTGAGAAAAATTTGAAATTTGAAACTTGAAAATTGTCTAAAATTGTAAAATATTATAAACTCAAGTGTCACGGACAAAAAAAAAAAATAAAAACTACAAAATTGGCTTGCGTTAAAATGATCACTCTGTATATTATGTGCACATAAGAAACCTGTTGAATGTGAGTAGCCCGAATAAAGATTTACCAGATTACTTATGTCCCTACTTATGTCTCTAGTGCATCGAGTGAACTGCACTTTTTTTTGCTTTCCTACTGGTCAATAATAATTATTAGTGTGTTTTACTGCACCTTAACCGCACAAGCCTGCTACAAGTGGTTTGTATTTCAATGGCAACAGGTGTGTGGTCGGTCTTCTGAATTTCTATCCGTATAGCGCCCGTCCTATAGTCCATAAGTTCACCCTTTAGCCTAGCGTTAAAAAAAAAAGTTTGACTACAGATTTGCAAGTTGAAATATTTACAAAATGTAATAAAAATGTGTTTGGAAAGTTGCTCAACCGTAAGTGTCAGTATTGACTACTGTTATGTATTATGTAAAAGTTTATACAGTAAATAAATATAGTGAACATTATGTATTTTAAGTGATTCAAGTAGCAAATATTTTAAAGTAATACCCAAGCTGGAACATCATTAGCAGTCATTAGCTTGTGTTATGAATAACATATAAATAATATTTATATTTGCGTTGTTCAACGCTTATTATACCTAAATAATGATAAAATATACATTTAAATTTGTTTGGATAAAAAAAAAAGCATAATTTGTATTAGATTTGTTAGACCGAATGTGAGGTTTTTTCTCGTGATGTTATCTCAATCAAGTGGATTTGCTCCCATGTGAGACAATTTTTGCAAAAAGTAGCCCATCCGAAGTGTAGTGTTGTTGTTAAGTTAATTTTTTTTTTTTTTAATTCTTTCAATCTTACCACATCCACCTGACCGCCGCGACAAGACCTGTGACACCGACGACGGTAAGGAAGTCATGCGCGATGACGGCGTGTGTCTTAAAGGTCACACGAGACGTTATGTGAAACGTTCGGTATAGGAGAGGGGGGGGGGGGGGTGAGGGGGGGCAAGAGAAGGTAAGGGGTGGGGGGTGCTCATCCCGGCCGTATTGTGACCCTCAAAAATATAAATAATTATACCTACACCGGAGCAGCAGCAGCAGCCCGTTTGTCTTTGGGTTTTTTTTTTTCTACTCGACGGATTTGGTGGGGCGGTTTGTGCGGATTACGCGAGAGTATATAACCGGCGAACGGCCAGACACATGCCTTCTGTGTGTTGCAATAACCGCGTGCATGCGTTTATTTTATAATATATAATATGATAATATAATATACACACTTTATTTCACTTTCATTTTCTCTGTCGTCGAGTGTCCGCGACTGGTACCCGCAACCAGTCTGAACACACCGCCAGCAGGCTCGTCGCCGCCGCCGTATCTCCTCTCTCGCCGGATCGTCCGAAAAAGTCCTATTCGCCTATGTAAATAAACATTTTTTGTTTTTTTTTTAATTTTAAACAACACACACACACACACACCTCGGATAAGTTTACCGGCGGCCGCGAAAACGCAGTGTTTTATAAATAAAAATATTATTATGCGGCCCTCATGTTTACCGCCGACCGCGTTTACGATTAGTGCCGACTTCAAGTGGTTCACTTGAACGTTCTCGAAACGGGGCCCCTTATTTTTTTTACTATCTTCTTATATATATATATAAATATTATTGTACATAATATTATAATATAGTTTTGCCCACCGGTTGACGGTCCGGCACGCGCCCAACAACAACAGCACTCGGACTTTGCCCGTGTCGACAAACAAACAACAGCAGCAGTCGCCAAGCAATCACAGGTAAACACATTCATTGATATACGGACAAATAGACGGTTAGGTATTGTATATTGTATGTTATTCTTGTAAGTATTTCACTTGGAACGCGAGTCCGGCAAATAACCGTGTCAATGTGTATTACACATAACATAACATTATAATATCGCGTACCTACCTACCTACTTACTATTAGTTAGTTATTACACAATCACCGCCGCAGCCGTTACCGGCCAAACAGAGTTCAACCGACTCAGAAACCTGTTTTTTACTTCCATCTATCGAACCGATCTCGATTTTAGCCGTTTCCTTCACGGGATAGGCGATTCGCCTTATCGGCCGAAACACAATGTCGGCCAGATATTTTCAAATAAAATACAATGTAATGTTTTTTTTTTTTTTGAAACATTCATATCGCCCGGACCCGGGTACCCGGGTAACTCTGTGTAACTAATTCGGATCGAAATATATTATATTATATTACTTACAACACACGACTCGTTCGTTGGAATTTGGAGAAAAAAAAATTGTAAAAGAAAGGGAAAGTCATCCGGGCGTTTAGCGCCGACAGAACTTGTCGAATTCGCCTTTAGAAAAAATAAAACATTTCAATTACATAATCCCAATGGAAATCGCCCTACTAGGCCAATCGGTGCTATTATGGCGGCAAACTAGTTTGGGTCGCGTGAGACGTCACCGTCTTGGCATTCGACCCGACAGGACAAATGCAATTGCATTGTTTGCAATGTAAATAATAACGTGCGTGTACATCGGCAACGGTTGGGTCAATGGAAAATAGTGAAAATAGTGTGCGTATGTATGTATGTATGTATGATGTGTGCAACGGAATTGCAACCGGTGAAGTAACACTCGAGTCACGGCAAGTTTGGCCAACACGTTTCTTAGATCCGTCTTCCTGTGCTGTGCGAGACACGAGTGAAAGGTAGTCTCGGTTTGAGGAATTCGGTAAACCGAACAGGGACTTGGCCTTGACACGGACACGGCGAATCCGGTCAAGATGACGGCGGGCAAAGATGTAAAAAGGCGAAGAAGAAGAAGAAGACTCGTGGGGATGATAGCCATCGTCTACCCTTTGTGTACGTTGTGCTAAAACCAGAATTTGCCGTTCAGAGGGTTGGCGTTGGCAAAGACCAGAGGGAAGGGTGGGACTTAAGATTAGCGCTACGTTTAAATTTTTCTCCCAGAAAAATTTGAAACGTAGGTATTTAGCGCTAACTTTAAGTTTTCAGGTTTTACGGTAGTGCTATACCGGAGGTTAGGTATTTTGGACGGGTTTTCCCGCTGTAAACATGCGGCAAGTATGCACAGCAATGTGTATATTGGCCATTACTCTCGAGTGTTAAAGTCTCCGGTAACGTTATTATCGCGTTAAGTCATGTAGACGTACATCTTAGCTCTCTTGGCGAGTATGATGGTTTTTCCTTAACATTTGGCAAGGTCATTGCGAGAACTGGGAATATTGTGTGTGTTTCACAATCGCATGGAGACGTTATTGATTGCCCTGTCGATGAGACGGTACAATCGTCGATCAATCTCGACGTTGCCCGTGATAAATCATTGCAGTATACCACAAATTATTATGCTTAACACAAAGAAACCAAAACCGGCCACTAGCCCATATATTGGCCAATCGTTGGGTTAGGTTCCTCTGTCGCCAAAAAATAACCCACAAACAAATTTTCGATTACTTAACAACAATAATTATTATATTGTTACAAGTCACCCACGTTCCAACCTATAAACAGTGTAATGTTATTTTACTACACAATGAGTTGTAAAAAATACCATTAGTTATGAGAATCAAGAGTGTTGGGTTAGTCTATGTCTCACAGCTAATGGCCAAAGTTGCCATAAGAAAAAAACTCTGGTTCTCATCTCTCGATGTTTTCACTGATCTAAGAAATCATGCATTTTATTTTCATTTATTTTTCCAAAGAAATCTAATACAGACCTAACCTAAAAATTTAAATAATTACCAATCTGTTGGCCTATGTCTAATATTATAACTGTACAACAATATTTTACCATTTTTTTTTTTTTGGAATAAAACCCAAAATAATTATATTTTTAAAGATTTTTTTTCTTGCTTAATACGAATCTAGTTTCAGATATTCTCTATTTGCTTTTTAAATCAGAACCTATGAACATCGTTATCAGAATTTCTTATTAAAACTTGACCGCCAACTCCAGGACAATTCCAGAATCAGTTCAGACCTAACTTTTATCACAGTTTTAAACGGTATACACATTTTGAAAATGATAACACTAGGCGCGCTAATGGGGTAAACTGAGACTAAATTCGAAAAACTAATAAGTAAATATTTTAGGTTCCACACAATGTAGTGCGGTGTCATTAAAAGACGGTTTGGTGTTTTAATTTGTTTTTGGGAATGTCAATTAACATGTATACGATTGGGTCCCCCGGTATGTCGGCTTGGGGATTTAAACCTTAAGTAAAAAAAAGATTTACAAAAAAAAACCACTCATTATCCTTAGGTATGATTTGGCTGTGTTTGGTATCTAACTAATTGACCACCGTCGTAGTCGATGCAGCAATATGTATAAATAAAAAAAAAATCGATACCCTGACCTACATGGCCGCCTGCTACATAATAATCATTAAGCCTATGTTATGTGTGTGTGTGTGTGATATTAAAAAATATATATTATATGTGTAAAAAAAACACATTGTACACTATTTCAAACCGCCGCGAGTTTGTCGACGGGACGCCTCTTGTAACCTATATTGACATATTAGGAAATTAACTGCGCATCGCACATCCACTAAGTACATACACCTGAATATAAAATATTATCTATAGCTTCATAGTCCAAATCGCAGTTTTAACACACAGTGCAAACGGGGCTAGAAGCAACTTATGAAGTTTGGTCGGTTAAAATTTCCATACTACAATAATTATTGACTAAAAAAAAAAAAGGGTCAATGTCAATAAATTGTTGGCAAAAACGAGTTAGACCGCTAAACTTGTATTTATAAAAAAAAACACCCTTCGCGTTGTGTAGGAAAACATAAAAAACAATATTAACATTCCAAGTTCAAAGCGGCGGCCGTCTTCGAATTACTAACAACACCACTAGAACCATTCTAAGTACACCACTGCAATGTACTATATCTATACATTAATATTTTTAGTTATGGCCGTCACTTTTTTGTTTACATTGAAAGTGACCCTTCTGCTTTTATCTGTTCTGTGGTTCACCTCCACAGCTCTCTCAAGACACAACTGAATCATGAATATTTTTTTATTATCTACTGTCAATATATGTACTTTGAACGTCTCCCGTCGGAGGAAAGTCTGGAGGGGGCGAGGTTAAGCAAAAATTGTTGAATTTTGAAAACAACACCTAACAAGATAATTAAGTTTTAACATTTTAGCATCTCGAATTCCGCCAATGCCGTCTCCCTTGACGACCTTTCGGCTTGGAAGCTGCCCGTGTGTGTTAACTGTTATCAGACATTATTATCTCATCGGGTAACGTCTTCGCGGCCTTCCCGGTGTCTTCGTGGCATCCGGCAAACGGCCTTTACCGCAACGGTGAACAACAACATCAACCGGCGAGTTGGGATTTTTCGGCAATAATAATTATCTCTTGGCGTGACGTCTCGGCCGGGCAATTATTCTTGTCGTCGTACCCGAGACACATAAAAGTACACACTAATCACTTAACGTTAAGACTCTGGCGTGCCCGACAACCACATAACCCGACCTAACCTTATCTCCGTGGAAACTGCATAATGTACTGTTTGGAAAAAAACAATCTTAGCGTTTTTATATTTATTTTCAAATAAATATTTTAAACTTTACCTAACCTAACCAAACCTAATCAAATCTAACCTAACCTAACCAAACCTAATCAAATCTAACCTAACCTAACTAAACCTAACCAAACCCAACTAAACCCAACCAAACCTAACCAAACCTAACCGTCGGAACCCGTTATCAGCGGGAATAGTGCAAAAAATTAAAAATCCTTGGATTAATCACTTTTGCTATTAAAATAAACTACAACGCGGTATAAAGGCTACACGGCCGCCACGATAATATTATAATATTCAACGACCTTATGACGTATCGAGTGTAATTTTTTTTTTTTTTAACACTATACTTTCATAATAAACCTACTGCACATTAACGAAAATATTCAGTGGCATTTTGAAAACTAGTTTACCAGGTTACACGTTTGGCATGCACTAATATGTGTTTTATTATTGTGACTGTCATTAGGCTACATTATTATTCTCGTTTGGGGTTTGAGGAAACATTTCGAACGCAATGTGAAAGGTATCATAATAGTTATTGAACAAAAAAACTGACCCGAGTACTTGCAGTATTACAGGAGTATTAATTTCACAACTTAGCAAGTGCAAATTGCCCAAATGGGCTTACGCCCTCACAATAATAGTCCCACAGCGTTCAAGACTAGGAAATCCGCGGTAGTGTAATGTACCTACTCGGATATGATTCGTGTTGTTGTGAGTTGGCCAATGACAAGGCAAAATAGCTGAAATAATTAATCGATTTAATCCCATCGAAATCGTTTATTATAAGCAGTGGGACTTGATTTCCTACAATAATATTGTTATCGACGGTTATTAATAACACATTACATTATTGTTATCGCACTACATTATGTGGGGGCTTAATGGATTACATGTTTTAGATGAGCGCGACCTTAAGAAAATAACAATGTATAAAAAAAAAACACACGGATACGAGTGTCAGCGTGGTAAACGGTTAAAATATTATACTATTATTATGACTTAATATTAAATTGTTAATAATGAGGTGAACATTAAAATACAAGGTGTCTGTGACGACGATCCCGGCAAAACATTACTATGTTTGGTCTGTCAATGTTAATTGATAACAATATTGAGAATTTCTCACCGCAGATGTTGCGACCCAGACCTTAAGTCTGTCCGGGTTAAAACCTTGGGAGTTTCTCAGGAAGTCTCGTCCGTCCCACGATACACCTGATATATATATTTAACATGTTTATTTTGTTGTTTGTTGTTGTATGCTAACGACATTTGTTTGTTTTTGCAGAAGACGAATGAAACATGGCGTCGGGTCTAGTGAACATGGCCATCGACCGATACGTCAACCTCGTAGACTCCATCAGCGGTAAGTACCTATATCATATTTTATTTGGTTTTCTTATTGGAAACATTAGAACATCTTCAGTTCTGCTGTTATCGTGCCCAAACTACCTTATCGGCCGTCTAAACAACACTGTCTCCTCCAGAAACAATCCTGCCATATCCGACTTCACTTGGCACTCGTGCTGTTCCTCGATTAATTATCATAAATTTGACATGGAAAACCCAATATTTCATTCGCAGATCCTCGAGTGAACGACTGGCCGCTGATGGACAGTCCGTTTCCCACGCTGCTCATGGTCATCACATACTTGTACATCGTCACTTACCTGGGACCCAAAGTGATGGCCAACCGAAAACCCTTTAAACTCAACAACGTGCTGGTGTTGTACAACGCGGGTCAAGTCGTCTTCAGTCTGGGCATGCTGTGGGAGGTAAACTATGATTAAAATTTTAACTTTGTGCAAACCCGTTGAAAAAATAGGAAAAACGTTTATCCTTTACCGTCGCGTCCAAGTACGACGCATAATAATAATAAATATATTCAAGTACACGATTTCCAGCGGAATCGCATATTAATAATAATAATTGTCGCGCACCGTTGCAACACATAAAAACAAGTTTTTTTTTTTTTCCTTCTCATAATATTATAGTGGCTGACAATGTGTAAGTAATAGTCTCGTTCTGGTGGGCAGTGGGTCATCGAGTCTTCTCCGCGGCAATTAAATTTCGCCGATAAATAATAATATAATATACCTATACATACATTTCCCTAAGGACGTAGAAATAACGCGTTACGCAACCCATCAAGTGGGTACACCTATTCCGCAAAAAAACTTGTTGAAACGTCCCAGAAGATAATAAAAGAGAGCGACTCGTGTCATCCGCATAACCAAACAGTGTTATAGTGTTTTTCTTGCGCAAATCGCACGCGGAAGGACCTCTTCTTCTTCTTCTTCTCTTCTTCTTCTTATAAAACAGCAGCTTACACGCCTAACCCGGACGACCCCGTTCGATCGTTTCAGGTCTACGGGATTTGAGGTCGCTTCTGACCTTGACCCAATTATGTAAAGCAAAGCAAAAAAGTCGGACGTTTTCCGACCGCGAGCCGACATTGAAGTCGAAAAGCGTTGGTCGGTCGGTCGTACCGTGTCGTTACATAAAAAAACGGCAGTGGGGCAGTTTTTTTAGCTTGTTTTTTTTTTATCCATTCGGAATGCTATCTACACACACACACACACACACACACACACGGACAACCAGAAGAACGTGTGCCGAGAGATTAATAATATTATTATTTTATGATGTAACCGAACGACCGGGCAACGAACGGCCCTCTCCGGTCGCCCGCCCGCCCGTGCCAACCGGGTGATGCAACGACCCAGCCCCGGTCAGCGTTCCTTGTTTTTTTTTTTTATATATATGTGTATATTTTTTATATATAATATTTTTTTATTCTATCCATTCCATATACTATATACTGGTATACTCCTCCTGTCTCCGCTGCTGCTGCTGCTGCTGCTGCTGCTGTTTTCGCTCTTCACACACACACCTACTTTCACTCGGCACACCGGGTCACACCGCATCGGGGTCATGATCGCCTCGGCTGGCTGGCTGGTTGGTTGGCTGGCTGGCTGAGCACCACGTGTTTCGCGTTCAAACGATCCTTGTTTTTTTAATTAACAACTAAAATATATACCCAGGGATCCGCAGAGACAAAGTCGTTGCTTAAAAAACTAAAACAGCTGTTGATTGAATGGGATAAACTTAACCGAGCAATGGTTTTGGCTGTACAAACACGCCCTAGGTTGGACAACGCGAAAAAAATGTATATTTATACAATAATATTATTATTGCTAGGTACAAGTAATTGTGTTTGAACTAAAAGCTATAGAATGTGCAGAGACGGATTAAGAGTTGCAGCGCCCTCCGGCTATCAGCCAACGGCCACTCCCTTCCCTTTAAATAAGGATTTATTTGCAAGGGGGAAACAAGTAAAAGCCGCCATAATACGTTTATTGTTGTTGTTAAATTTCACATACATTATTTACATTGATAAATTGCGGAAAAAATATTAAAATATTTTCTACATTTATGTTTTATCGAATTTCAAATTATTTTCGTTTGGCAACACCCTGAACTATATAGCCTAGTTAGCTAGCCCGCACCTAAATCCGTCCCCGGTGGAATGATGTTAAGTTTAATCGATTACAAATTTAGCATTTTTTTTTTCGTTTTTTACAAATTTACTGTAAATATATATTACCTTGGGCACGTGTGCGCAGCCTCGACATCCTTAAGGTCACGACGACGGGCGATCGCACACGAAAAAACACGAGGTCGCCGAATCACACACACCGGGTTGAATCCTCCAAATTAAAAAAAAAATTTTTTTCCACATTTGCATACTCGCATTCCGTCAGTAGGTGCGTTGTAACGGCATAACAGGTTCCTCCACGGATAACTAATTACATTATATCATTAGTATTATTAGTATTATAGGTACGTCTCGGTTATGACGGCTTTACCGTATGCAGTTCGACCTCATCGAACCCCGTCAAAACGTTCACTAGTTTTTTTTTTTTTTACCCTCGGGGTAAACGAGTTATTAAAAAATATTGTAACATTAGTCCCAATCGTCCACAGAGGACGCGGCACTTACCTATACTTACAAACTAGATTTAGCGCTAAAACCGGTAGGTAAAACTCTGCTAGGAAATTCAGAAAATCCCAACTCGAACAGCTGTGCCTTTTGGACGAGTGTTTTCAGTAGTTTTTAAATTCAATTAATTATTCGAGTTTTGAGAACCCCAAAAAACTCTCAGGGTTCCAGGCTTGATCTTTCATGATTAATGTCTCAAAACTATGAGTTGCATTACATTATGTTTTACCATTGTCTAGTATGGATGTCCATCTAAAAATCAACAAAATCAGTACAAATTATACTTTTTTTTACATTTCACCATATATTTTCTGTTTAAAAAACCTTCCCCACTTTAAAACATTGCAATAACATTATATACTGCGCACATCTTGGCTGTCGGACAAGTACTCTTCGTGAGTACACTTAAGGACTAGTGGAGTTAAAGATCACAATATTATATTGTCCTTGCACGGCCATCAGTCGGTTATCCTCCGTCAGCCAGTGTAATTAGTAATTACACACAGCCTTGCCCCATCGTCGTAGTAGTAGGCCTAACGACATTGCAGAAAAATCCAAGAAAACCATCTCGCGTGTGTCTTTGACCGTTATCGACTTAATACATCTGATTCAATTGCTTATTAATTTCGTGCCACAACAGAATGATGACCTAAAAATCATAAACAGCCTTACTGCAATGCACGCTGATGTTTCGACCACCAAGTTAACAACTACTAACTGACAAACGTTTTAAATGTGATTTAATTTAGTAGTTTTTTTTTTTTTGTTTTTGGCAAACTAGCGTGGGGCGTTAAAAGAATCGCCCTGTATGTATTTTTGGCTTACAACTAATTAACACCTATAGCTATTGTACAAAAACCGTTTACTACTATTACTGCTCTGCTAAAGTAATAATAACAGTAAAGCATGGCGGACTTGCGCAATTTTGACGGTACGTTGAGTTCTGCGGAATTTTGTAACCTTTGAGACGTCGTGGTGCAACGTAGGTCGGTAAAAAACATAGAAAATAAAAAATAATGATATTATCCTGTTTGGGTGAAGCTGTGTGTGTGCGCTTGTAGACGGTGTTTCGTTTGTCTACCACCGCCACCGACAAACCACAATGTGCATGCTTTGTCGTTGCGAAACTCGCTGAAAACAGCAGACAACGCGCTAATTATAATAATAATAGTAATAAAATAAAATAAAATAATTATTATGTCACATATAGCCGACCACTGGAACAGGCCATTCATTTTCCTGTACGATGCACATTTATTTTGTTGTACAGAGTGATAATATTATAGTAGGATAAGTAGACAACTGCAGTTTTGTAGTTTTTCATGTTGGAAACACTTTGGTTAATTCGCATTGTTATCTTTTCAAATCCACAACAGTTTGCTGGTAATTTCGACCGGTCGACAACCGGTTTTCGGTAAAGCTATTAAAGTTTATAAGTAATTTGTACAAAACTGGTTGAACGTTTTAAGCGAATTATTGTTTTGTTTAAAATGTTTAACTGTTACTACAACATCGTAAAACGACATGAACAAAAATGTTTTCAAAAAGAAAAACTACAAAGTTGTGCAATTAGTACTTTAAGAATAGCTGAATGGTGTTTTGTCCTTAATGAATCATCCTATCTATTATATATATATATTGTTAAAGCTAATATTGTTTGTACATTTTTCAGCACTTGATGAGCGGTTGGCTACTGGACTACAGTTACAAATGTCAACCAGTCGATTACTCACACAACCCCACGGCTCTGAGGGTAAGCGTTTGGACCGTTTTTAAACAAAACCTAAAATAATTTATTCGAATTTGGTCTCAAAAAAATCTCCAACACCTTGATATTTGTTTTTAAAAGTCCCAGACCACTTAGTAAACAAAAAAAAACTTGTCACACACAGTGAAAAAAAAACAATTTTCTTTGTGTTTAACTGATAACGTGCAATTGATCTACGTATAAATTGTAATTGAATCAATCTAGAACCATGTCTTATCAGTGAATATTTTTATTATTTTAAGTTATCGCTGTTAATATTGTCACTTAACCCGAAGAATATCCGTGAGGAAAATACATTTTTTAGAATATAATTAAACAGATGTTGTGTTTTATGTTTTATAATATTGTGTAAAACGTTAGTCCCTCTCTTTTGTGTACACGTACTTAGTTATAATATTTTTTGTTGTTAATTATTATAAAAACATTCGTTAACGTGCAAATTGAATGCTTTCAGATGGCCAATCTATGTTGGTGGTACTACATATCGAAGCTTACAGAATTTGTTGATACGGTATGTGCTGTTTTCGATTATTATTATTATTATTGTCGTTGTTACTAACGGCCACTTTACGCTGCCTTACAGATATTCTTCGTGATGAGAAAAAAGGACAACCAAATCAGTTTGCTTCACCTGTACCACCATTCGCTCACGCCCATCGAGACGTGGATTTGCGTGAAATTCATAGCCGGTAAATACATGGCCGTGTGTAATAAATAATAAGTCGTACCGACCATGTTATGTGATGTTATAAAATTTAAATTTTGCGGTTTTAAAAATAGAAAATTATATAACTTGACCCAATTCTTCGATCGATGCCACGCATTGAAAAGTACAGTCCGGGCTGTGTTCTAAGATTTAATATTCGGCCCCCAAGGCGTTGACGCAGGTCCACTAATGATCCAACGGAATTATTCTATTCACGGCTTTCAGAACCGTCACGTGGCGATGTGATGTTGTTAAGTGTTTAATTGACAATAATTTGGAACTACACTGCGAGTTGCATAACCGACGAAAAAATCGAGACGCCCAACCTTGGTCTGGTCACCGAAAAATTCATCGCGCTAGTGTTAGGAAAAAAATATAATAATCCCATTATTGTCCACACAAGTGTGCACGAGAAACGTTCAAACAGTTTGAAAACAGACTTTTTTCGGATGTCCTATTTTTTTTTAAATACAAATTTGAACGTTTTAAAGTGCGATGAGAACCAAAAGGGTACAATTGAGAATTTTTGATAATATTGTAATACTGTTTCCCAATGAAATCCGTGTCGGTTTTTATGGCTGATAATTAACACTGTATGAATTATTTTCCTCGAAAAAATAATACCAATTTTTGGCTTTCAGGCGGCCACGGCACGTTTTCCAACTTGGTGAACAACATGGTGCACGTGATCATGTATTTCTATTACATGATGTCCGCGATGGGCCCTCAATACCAAAAGTACCTCTGGTGGAAAAAGCATTTGACCACCATACAACTGGTAAGCAGAACCGGCCGGGCCCCGGGCGACCACTTGTTGCGCCTCGCGGACCACCTGTTGCGCGTCGGATCAGAGCCGCTGTCGATACACAGATATATATATATATATAAACTAGATTGCCAAAGTGTTGTACAGTGTTGAGTATGAAGGAGGACTATGGATGTGCATTATTAGAGATAGTAGTTTAGAGATAGTAGTTTGCAGGACCTATCCATGTATTGATGTAGCTGCATGAAGTGTGAATAGCTTACTCTTAACTTTTAATCGTACACACGCATATTTTCCACCAGTTAGCAATCTAGTTTATTATACATCTATCACACCGTCTGTGTGTCGATCGTATATTTTGCATTCTTGTCCTGTACTAAACCCCCCCCCCCTCTCCCTTTGCCCACAGTTGCAGTTCACGCTGGTGTTTTTCCATTCGGCCCAAGTGCTGATTTTCGACTGCGGTTATCCCAAACTGGTGGCCGCCCTGCTGCTGGTGCACTCGACCATTTTCTTCGTGCTGTTCTTCGACTTCTACCAACAGGCGTACAAGAAGGCGAACAAGCAGCTGCAGGCCAAATCGCAATGACCGCCGCAACGTTGCCTACCGGCGAAAAACGACTAAAATCAAAAACTAGATATAAGAATATTGAATAAAAAAATTAAATGAATAAAACGAAAATATCAATACCGTCAACGCGTTGAACACGTGTACGTTTGTTTCTATACATCATATTGTAATATAAATATATATATATATATATAATATGTCTTATATTATGTTAGTATCGAATGCACGCGCTCGTGTATTTTTTTTTTTGTAAATTTCACCTATTTAAGTTGTTCCAAAAAGTATAATTGTAAGTATTGAACGCGACAAACGAGTCGAGATATTATTATTTTTTTTTTTTAAAGATATTTATCATCGTTTTCCCCCTTCCCTCGACTAGATTTTAAAATGTTTAACTATATCATTACACGTTAAAATATATATATATAAATGTATTTTATAAAATAATGTACGCTCATTAAATTATAATTTTTAAGTTATACATATATATATACATACCATTACAAACGAGTACCTATATCATAATATTATTATTTCACTATCTATCATTAATGTATACCGTTATCCACGTCTATTTATAAGCGTACAATTAGAATATATTATTATTATTATTTTAAGTTTATATACATGATTTTAACGAGACTTCGAGTTTATATATTCATTGGCAATATTATTTTTAATAAAATCAAACATAATAACCTGCGTCGGATTTATTACAACCAATTAAAAACTAAGTATAGGTACGGTTTACTCGTAGACTTAAACTCTACTTCAATGAACTCATCGCAATAATGCACTGAGCATGCCATAAGGGTTTCCAATTTATCTTCCAAGTAAATACTCACAAATTCAGTTCGTTTTTCAAATTAATGTTTATGTTCAAAGAGTTTGTAATCTTATTTTGAACTTGCTTGGCAGCTCTTTCTTATTGTTTTGTTTAAAAACGGAGGTTGCGTATAACTTTGAACTTTTAGTTCAATAAAGCGATAACTGTTAGTAAAATTGTTTTTGAAAAATATCATTCAAATTAATATTAAATATTATCATAAAAACTGTGTTCTAAAATGTCCATTTGAAAATGTGTCATTAAGGAAAAAACATATTAGCTGTACTTAAGGTCTATAATATTTAACTTTTAAAAATTAAACTCAAGTCAGGCCGATGCAAAATATCAAGTGTACATCAATTATATACCGGGTGTTATATTAGGATTTAATCACTGTAATACTATTATTGTCCACTAGAGAAATTTTAGAGAAAGGTATACCCTACACTCCCTTTAAGTAACGCTCATAACGTTCTCGTACAAAACTTATTAATATATTGTATAATTATTATTATATATTGTTAGTATTTAAAAAAATACAAGGTTCTAGTCTCATAGCTTATGTAGGGTGACACGACCGAAATCCATGGCTAATGCAACTAAAACCACTTACTGTGTCTAATAGCAATTATTGCTTGATTAAGACTAGACAATTTGTTGAGCTTACAACTCCAGACAGTATCTCATTTGTTCACTAATACTGTAATAACACATCAATTTATTATTGTTCAATATTAATGGCCAGGGTTTTTTTTTTAGATACTTATGTTTGACATAAGTGTGTCACCCATGTTTCACTTATTAAAGTAGGGTTTCTGTAAAGTAAAATAGTAAAAAGTAAATATATATTAATATTATATACCTCTGGAGTCTGTTTCTCCAACACACGTTGTTGTTTGCACACACTTGTATACAAAACAGTATACAAACTGTTTGTCTTTAGCTGTGCATTGTTAGGATTTAGTACAGTTTTTAATTCTAATAAAACATATAAAACAACAAGTTTAATTATACATTTTATTTCATTTCAAAACAACTCTTATATCTTTACCAATTTAGTCAGGTATCTTGTAAGAATGTTCCTTACAGGAAGAATGAAGGGTTTTTTACTGAATTGTCCGAAAATAAGAATTAATTGTTTTATTATAAAAAAACCCATCGAACAAAATGTGATTTAACGTTATATTGTAAAACAAAATGGCCCAAATAGGTGAAGACAAACTGAATTTCAAAGTTTGTATTTACTTAAAGAAATTGACTACATCTTTATGAATCATATTGTCATGTAGAATAGGAATATTGGAAAAAAATCAGGCGATTTATATAGGCAAATAATCATACATATCGACGGTTATTGTTGTCGTTTGGCAATCATTACCAGCAAAACCTAACAAGTGGTGCTAACTATTATTATTTTTTTTTTAATGATAAACAATTAATAGAATGATAAATCACATTTATGATCACACTGACAAATTGATTACTAAAATAATAAATTGACAATAACAATGCACACCTACATAATCTAAAAGTGGGAAATTTAAATTTTGAAAAAGTAGATGTGAAAATGCGCCTTAGGTATTTATTGTTTTTTTTTTTTGTTCATCTTAAATACTTTGATTTCATTGTATAAGAGATAATTAAAATTTATTGTAAATTAAATCGGTTTCCAGTTAAAGAATAATAAATGGAAGAAAACGAGATATTGTCACTTTTTTCGGTATAACCAAACACAATGACTTGAAGCAATGCCAAATATTTAAGAAAAATATGAGATTGTTAATGATTTTCTATTTTTCTATTATTCATTTTAACATATTAACTCCCGTTTAAAGTAAAGTATATTTTTTATGCTACATCACAATGATCAAACGCAATTATTATCGGACAACAATGTCATGCACATGATAGACTCATTGAAACCAAATAAAATATAATATACAACCATCATCGTGCAAATCGACTTAAATATTATCATTAAAAATGCCATTATTATGCTTATTAAAACAATAATAGTTGTATATTACAAACAAATTGTTAAATTGCCACAAAAGTAGTTAACAAGTTCAATCAATAGGTAAACAATCAGTTCAATTAGTTTAGGTAACTCTCTGATTTCGGGGAAAAAAATAGACTTGACCCTATTTCAAAAACGCTAAAGGAAGACACTTAGAAGAAAGAAATCTTAAAAAAACATCACATTATAATGATCATAAAAAGTTCTTGTAAAGATAATGTGATAAATTATATGCCTATAAAAAAAATCATAACGTCAAATACATTTATTTTATTTAAATACGTTTCATTCATTTTTTAATCACAAGTGCTCACCACCATCGGTTATCAAGTGTATACAAAACAATATAAATAAAACAAGAATATTCTATTATCTATAAAAACATGTAAGCTTACCTAATATCAATTAGATAAACGAGTTTTATACTTATTTTTTATTAAAACAAACATAAATAATTATACAAAAAACATTAATGAATTAAGTTATGAACAAAATTTTAAATTATTATCTATAAATTATTATTTTTTTAATTTTATTATCTAATTATTATTTGTTTACAACCTAGTCAATTACATTATACGATTATTACATTTTAACAGAAACCCCCAGGTCTTAGATACTACTGTGTGTAAATTAAACGAGGTACTCGATACACTACTGGCAGTGGTCGTGTTAATGACAAATCAGCTATTCGTTCAAGTGGTCAATCATAATTTCGCGGAGTTTGAATTTCTGAATTTTACCAGAAGCCGTTTTCGGGAAGTCGTCCACGATCATCACGTGGATGGGCACTTTGAATTTGGCTATCTGCAATCGGTACACAAAACGCACGTTATTATTATGCAAACCACTGTCGTTTCCCAGTCGAGATAATAATTAATAACGATAAATCACTCACGTTGCCGTAGCAAAATTTTCGTACGCCAATCTCGTCGAGCTTGGAATTTTTTACAGTTTTTACGGCGGCGCAAACCACTTCGCCGAGCCTTTCGTCCGGTATACCGAACACCTATGAAAACAAAAGGGTAAAATACATGGTAAGAAATCAGTTTAGCTTCCATCACTTCTGTCTCAATGGCTGAGCACGACAGGGGGCAAAATATTGTAGAAAGGGTAAATATTTTTGTTCGGGATAGGCACGACCCATTTTATATAGACCTGAGGAAGAGTACATAACCTCCCCGTCGTCTACTGACCTGAGCCTGGACGATTTCTGGATGAGTTTCCAGAAAGTACTCGATCGTCTGCGGTTCTATGTTTTCTCCGCCTCGAATTATGATGTCTTTTATCCTGCCCGTGATCACGCCGTATCCGTCTTCGCTCAATGCGAATACGTCGCTATATTGTAATTAACAGCCATCGAGTAATATGATAATAATATTATAAATACGTTTGTCTTTATCGCTATTGAGTAAGCCTACCCCGAACGAAGCCATCCGTCGTCGTCGATGGTCTTTCTTGTCATTTCCACGTCTTTCCAGTAACCCGGCATGACGTTGTACCCTTTGAACCAAGCCTCTCCCGGAGTACCCATAGGCACCACGTCGCCGTTTTTGTCCACGACTTTCACCTACAAACACAACATCCACCTCCATTACATTAAGATTTTACAAGTGTTATCTCTTCTCAGTTATTCAATAATCCATTTTAATGTCAGCTAATGAGTACAATGTCATAATGTGATCTTACTTCGCAGTGATCGAGCACTTGGCCAACGGAAGTGCACGTTTTGTCTTCGGGTTCGTCTGGGTTGGAAATAAAGACAACAGGACTGGTTTCCGTCATCCCATAAGCACACTAAAATGCAATATATTAACAATATACACCGCGGTTTTTAATCATCCTGATTACAACAATAGCTATCACTATGCACCAGAGAATACAATATTAGTTATTACCGCTAAACGTCCGACATTGAGAACCGTTTTGATTTGTTTGAACAATTGTGGAGAACACAAAGCTCCCCCGCAAAATGCCACTTCCGGTGTTGTAAACGTATATCCTTCCTGTAGGAGTTCTTCGGAAACGCAAACCAAGTCGACGTACATTGTCGGCGTACCGTACAAAATGGTGCATCTAAAAATTAATGATTACAAAAAAATAATAATAAAATATATGAAACACGTCTAATTTTGTTTAACTATAACGCCTAACCTAACCTAACTTTGATCAAAATTGATGTGTTTTATAGCATGAATCTGTCAATAACTAATACATTTTTGAAGTCATAATAATCAATTATTTCTTGATGCCAGCTGTTTTCTACGGTCACGCCCCTTTGCCCCTTGGCCGGCTACCGCATGACTGATTTTCGTTTCCGTTATCAATAGTTTCTTGCTGTATTTCCGGCTCTCTTCGTCCCGTTTGGTCTCCGAAACGGTCTGGAAGCGAATCGGTTAGTCTTCAGAAGAGCGCGGTACGAGCAACATCGAACCACAGCCCTGAAGATGGAACGTGCAAACGTTGGCGAACTAGTCAAGACCTCCAAGTGAGAATAACCTCAAGTCATGTGAATAGTGTAAACCATGTAAGATTTTACAACGACTATTATAAAGTTATAATTAGTCTACTTAAAACCACAACAAGCCTTGTTTTGAAAATAACCATCTCAAAACAAATCATTTGTATCCTTTAATTATAGAATTTTCTTGGGTATTTTAAACTGTATTGTAGACAAATAAGAGAATACTAATGTTAAAATGCGGTAATAAATGAAAAAAAAAACTAACTTTTCGTGTACAATGGCCTTGGCAGATTCGATGGGCTTATAACCGCAAGCCGGCAACACCAATGTGGTTCCACTGTGTAGGCTCGCCATGATTCCAACGACGGTACCGAAAGTGTGAAAAAACGGCACTTGCAGCAATATTCTGTGTTCCTGAGAAAAATGTAATAGTATTTAATTTTTTAACTAACAAAGCATGATCTAGTCTTTGCGTTAGAATAATTTAAACGAATATTATCGAAAAAACACGGTCCGGATAACGTTCAGAGCGAATTTTAGATTTTTCTCTTTACCTTAAAAAAAGGCATTTTTATTTAATAATATTCAAGTCACCTTTTTCTTCAACAGCAGTCTTTTACAGACGAAGTACGAATTGTTCACGATATTGTAATGCGTTAGGCAAGCCCCTTTCGGAGAACCAGTCGATCCCTGTAACAGTAAATTTATTACACAAGAGTTGACAATTTCCTTAAACAATCAATTATCCGAAAAAAGCTGAGAAAACTACACCGAGCCCGTTTTAACTGAAAAAATGCTATCAAAACAAAAATTTCCAAAATTACATTACCAACTTAAAAACCAGTTAGATTGGATGATTAAAAAAAAAAACTTTTTAATCGTTTATAACTTGTAACGTTGTATGTTAAACGACGGCTATTAATAATGTCGAATTACCGAAGTGAATTGTATATTGCATATCTTATGCGGGTTGAGATCAAGGTTTAACTTTCTTAGGTAGGCGGCAGATTTGATCGTTCCCGATTGGCACACGTCCCAGAACTTGATGATCCCGCTGGAACACAAAATAGCAACTAAATATGATTTAATAACAACAATAATGACAGTGTGTACACTCCAACAGGTGCAAAATTATTTGTATTTTAATATAAAGTAAACGACTTACGGGAGACTCGTTTCGGTGTTCATGACGATGAATTCCAAATGGGGTAAATGCCTAGAGGTCACCGGTTTACCGTGTGGTTGCTGCTCGATTTCTGGCACAATGTTCTTCAGCAATTGATAATAATCTTGACCAGGGTTGTTCTCAAAAGCGATCAACATTTTGGCGTCGACTTTATCCAGACAATGGTAGAGTTCACGACTCAGGTACAACGGGTTTATGTTCACCTGCAGTGGGTTAGAATGTGATTATTGAAAAAGCGTTTGTGCTTTGTTAGGTCTTTCCAGAGCGTCGCCTGGACAATATTAAGCACGGTCCTTACGGCTATTAAGTCGGCCTTTATGGCAGCTAACAATGTGATTTCCCATTCCACCGAATTGGATCCCATGATGCAAAGTCGGTCACCCGGTTTCATGCCCATTTCCAAAAGTCCAGCTGCCAGCTCGTCGACCTGCGACCATCAAAGAGAACGACATTGTTCACGAATTACAATAAATTAAGCAAGACGGAAAAAGTTAATTATTTAGTGATAAAAAAAATAGCCAAGTTAACCTTGACATTAACCGTCATATGATCTAGTATACATTTAAGGTATCATGGCCAATTAAAGTGTTGACTGCTTGGTAGGAACTTGCAATATAATAATTGTATACAATTTTATTAAAATCATTAGTAATTATCTAGTTAAATTTTGCTAAATAATTAGTTTATTTGAAGTGAAGATGTGTATTTTGAACTGATCTACAAATATTATTTTACAAAAAGCTAATTCCCTATGAGGATTTAAAGGCTGATTTTAAATCAAGTAACTCAAGTACTAAATTAATTATAAGCATAAGAAGAACCACCAATTTTTTTTGACCAAAATGAATGCATTTTTTGATAACTTTTTTTCTAAGAAATAAAAAACATGTATGTTATAAAAAAAAAGGAAATATATATTTTTTAGACTGGTTCAAAGTCTTAAAACTGTATGACTCTTCTGTGGGTGCACATACCGTTGCATTACAAGGTAAGCTAAATATACACCACTGGTCAAAATACAGGTTAGGTTAGGTTTCATTTGTACAGGTCTCAGATCGAAATTTGTTTAGTGATTGTAATAATATAAAAAACTGCAAGCCGAGTTTAACTTCTTCTAAACGTTTGTGTATCGTTAATTCATACCTCGTTTTTGAGTTCTAGAAAGGTGATTCTCCGGTTCTGTTGTACAGAGACTATTGCTTCCCTGTCCGGATAAGTCTCGGCCGCCATGTCGACCAATTGACCGACTGTCATATTTGTCAGCGGTTCATTTTGGATGCCTTTGTAATAACTCGGTTTCGGTATACTGGACGAGTCCGTACTTGAACTGCAAAACAAAAATAGGTCTCAATTTAGAAATTGTGCTTACGAGTTCACGGTACACAACGATAACTCCCAAATCGGCTCAATTTTGTTGTAACTAACAAAAGGTATAAAGAATGTTGGAGACAGGATAAAAGATTGTTTCATAAAAACAAAATATTTCATTGTTTTTTGATAAAATCTTATTTTGTGTTCGGTGGAATTTCAATGGAGGCCCTCCTAAATTAGTACAATATAACAAGGCTACCAAAAACATATTAATATGTTTGATGATCAAATTACGGTTTTTTTATTGAGAACAACAGACTTAAATATTACTCCAACGATATTTCATCCAAAATTTTCTTGGAAAAATTTGTATTCCAAAATATTTAAATAAAAATATAAACTAGTTACAGTATTTATAACTAGTGAAATACAAGTGAGTTTACAAGCAGAACTAAACAAGTTACTAGTTATTTTTTTATGACTCTTACTAAATAAGTACCTAACCTAATTTGTATACAAAATTCTGGTAACTGCGATGCCGGACAAGTTACATTTTCAAACTAACTTAATATTAGTTCATTATAAATAAAAATCTGCTTGCTAGTTGTAATGTTACATCATTTTTTAAGAGAATTTTGCTATAAATAACACATTTCTGAATATCTAAATTTTACAGAATTGTTTTATGAAGAAATCCTGGTAAAACTCAGAGGTAATTAATTGTTGTGTGTGAGTGGCACGTTCTAAATTTAAACTTAAAATCAACATATATAGAATTATGTAATTGTTGTTTTATCATAAAAATTAATTAGTTCTTAAAATCATTAAGAAAGATGAAACTACCAAAAGTTGAATTTTTTTTCAGAGATTAGAGTGAATCGAATAAAAAACAACATGTGAAACTATTATATGTATTTTATAATATTATTTTTTTATTATATTCCAGTTCGTCTTTTACTTACCTTTTGTCATAACCGCTCATTTTATACACCGTTTACGATTTAACTTTATAATATGAAAACAATTTTTTTTTAATAGGGAATTACAGCTTTCAACTGTTTTTCAAGACTACTATTTGAACTGAAAAATTAATTGAATTTGAACACCAAATGTGAGGGAATAGAGTCTGAATCGCCCAGAACTAAGTACAGTGTGCACTAATCTACTGCCAAAGAATAATAATGATTTCTTACAACGAAAAAAATAAACGCGTTATTCTTTTAGTTGAATTTTTAATAAAATAATTTAATAAAGTAAACTAATTAAATTGCAATTTCTACTACCTTTATTATAGAATATTTCATGTCATATACTTGATTTTAATTATAATCAAATTTTAACAATGGCTAATTAGTTTTTTTTTTATTATATCTGCGACCATAACAGCAAAAAAATGCATAAAATTATCATTTAATTTTAATACTATCATATAATAAAAATAATATGGTAATATATTCATTAAGATTTTTATAAATTTTCAGAGTGAATAAAACTACACATCTAATAGCAATAATTTAAAAAAACAAAATGTAAAGCTAAATTTTTATTTTTATTAAGTATGATGCCTGTCCTTAGGAATAGACGTGACATGAATAGATGAATATGATCAATCTTAATTATTTTCAAATTTAAAAAAAATTGTATGACTGTTGGAGTGCGGTTAAGTAATTCACACTGATAAAAATCAAAACCGGTTATCAAACGTGGGTAAATATTTGGTACCACTAAAAACAATAGATAAGCCCCTCAGTTTTTTTTTTAAATTGAGTTACAGTGATTTTTGCCGTTGGTAAGTCGAGTAAAAGCAATAAGCATAACAGCTATTAAATACATACATATTATTTTATTATATTTAAATTGGTGTTTTACTTACCTTTTGTCATGATCGCTCATTTTATATACCGTTTACGATTTAACTATACTACTTGAAATATAAATATATATATATATATTTTAATAGGGAAAACACAGTTTTAAACTATTTTTTAAGACTACTATCGGATACTGAACAATTGATTGAATTTCAACACCATATGTGTGAGGGAATAGAGTCTTATCGCCCAGAACTAAGTACAGTGTGCACTAATCGACTGCCAACGAATACTAATGATTTCTTACATACAAAAAAAAATCTCTTTAAAGTCAAATTTAGTTTTTAAAAAAATCAAGCATGGCCAAATATTTCTTCAAAGTCGAGCAGATGTCAGAATTATAGTTGTGGAAATGTGAGAACTTTTTTTAGAAAAAAAAAAAAATTATAATACCAGCAATATGCTATTGTTTTTAGGCCCACGTTTTGTCAAGGTCGCTAAGACTTTCAATTATCGAAAATATCATAACGTACCTAAAATTTTGTATTATTGTTCGTTATTTGAAATATGCACTCGTTTAGTTTACCGTTATTGTATTATCATGAATAATATTTTATATATACAAGTCTAAAAAGCACTCTACGTAAAATAACACGAATCAAACTTACTACTCTGACTTTTTATTTCCCTCAAAAAAAAAAAAAAAATAACAATAGAAGAATGAATTATAATGACTATGATGATGGTGTATAAACTACTATTTCAGAACTACTTACGGATGATTCGCTTGGATGTTCATGACGATGACTTGAGAAATGAGGTAACATGAGATAAATGAGTGATCACCGTTCTACCGTCTTGTGGTCGCTGTGCAATTAACGATTGAATTTTCATCAACAGCTATTGATAACAACCCAGGCGAGGAATGTACTCCAGAACTTATTTGGAAAGTCTCGTGGACAATATTAAACACGGTAGTCCTTATGGCTATTAAGTCGGCCTTCATGGCAGCTAACACAGTGACTTTCCCCCATTCCACCGATATGGATCCCATGATGCAAAGTAGGTCGACCAGGTTTTATGTTAATTTCCAGAGTCCAGCTTTCAGCTCGTCGACTTGCGGCCATCGCAGAGAACGAAATTATTCACGAATGAAATATTATTATTATTAAGCACGACGGAAAATGCTAATTTTTTACACAATAAAAACGCCAAGGTTAACATCAATCGATTTAGTAGACTGCAGCTAAGCGTCTCGGTTCAAAGTTGAAATGTTTGATTGTATTTCTATAAACTATTAATTGAGTTACAGCGATTTTTGCAATTGATAAGTCGAGTAAAAGCCATGTGCAAAAGTAATAAATATATTATAAATATTGTTTTATTATACTTAAATCGGTGTATTGTGTTGGAACGATAATTAATATTTTTTTACCTACAATAATAATAATAATAATATGTTGTTTTCGTTGTAATATTATAACATATGTAGTCAAGATTAAGTCAGCAATAAAATAGTTGTTTTTGACACACATATTACATTTTGCTAATGTAACCTCGTTTCATCATTATAATTAGCATTTGTATAGCAAGAGAACAGGACGTCTAACTTTATCTGTTAAGTTTGCACGTTATATTAATAATGTACGTCACACTGTTATTTTATTCATTATTAATAATATAGTTTATTGTTGTAATTATTATAAGTGTTTACCAATAGTAATGTGTTAATCCGTTTATTTATTTATGTTGTTTTTTATTGCAATACCAAACTGCCATTCGTATTACTCGTTATACATTTGTTATTATTATTATTAGTAACATATTATTAACACTTACCTGTTGCCATCACCATAATATACCATCATAAACGATTTAACTTTACTACTTGAAAAATATATCCATTTTAATAGGGAGCAATTGTTTTTGAAAAAAATTAGTTAGTTTCAAGTTTAATTGTGTCAAAATTTAGTTTTATTTGTAATGTCCAAAAACAAATTTGAGCATTTAATTTGTGTAAATTAAGTAAGTTTAAATTTTACCCGACACCGTTATCGGGAGGTCATCCATGTTGATCACCTGGTTGAGAAACTTAAACCTGGTTTTTTATCCATCGATAAGATATAAACGGAAACGTACAAAAATTATCATTTTGTAATAATTAAATACAATACCAACGTTGACGGTGTTATGTATTTATTGGATTTCCATTTTCTATCTCGATTCGAAAGTATACAATTACAACGACTACAAAACGTTATTTCATCAATTATTATTATCTAAATAATCGTTTGTTAAATAGATAATATTACACCTTACGTACATTTACCAATATAATATTATATTCTAATAAAATCACTTTACAACAACAATACTAAATGGAACACCCGACGTGCTAATGTGTACAATACGCTGACTAATATTACTAATAACTATAATGTTGGTATACAGGGTGATGCACTTATCGTGAACCATTCAATATCTCATAGGGTTTAATAAGGAGTTGACATTTTTTTTTCATATTATTTTTATACAATGTGTACCCACAATTTACAATGTGTATACTACCTGGACGGAAACAACACAGATATTGATGTGACAGATGTGATTAATTTGTGACAGCTTGTGAAGAAATGATAATGTAAAATAATATACTAGAAAAACACGCTGAACCAATTTTGGCGGTAGTGCTGTATTTGTCATAAAACGGGCTAAAATATATTTCAATACAATTTTGTAACATTGTCATCACCTAACGCAGCAAGGGTTAAGTGTAAAGTTATTTTATTCAATAATTTTATTATTATTACAATGTAAAAATTGTAATATTATAACAGTTATATTATACAAGAAAATTTATTTTATTACGAAAAGTGTTTGTTTTGTTGAAGTTTAACAATAATTAACTAATGGTATTAATGAGGTCTGTAGCGGTCAAGGCTTCGTTACAAACTAATATAGTAAGTGAAATGCAATGCCAGTATTGTTTTTATAGTAGTTTTAACAATTTTGGTGTATTTTATAATAATCTCAAAAGTAATCTTTGCCTTAAATGTTATTTTTTCAATCTATTCTCGATAGACTTGCTACATGAAGAAAAGTGGCATATATTGATAAAAAACTATTTGAAAAAAAAAAAGAATTTCACGAATGGACTACTACCCTTCTTTCTGTGTGCCCTTCAATTATTGGTAAAAAAAATATTATCAATTCGCACAACACTATTTCGAAACAAAACTTTTTTGTCCAGAAAAATGTTTTAGCTTCGATGCAAAGCAGAAATAGCCCACATCGCGGTAAAACCAATTACTATGATGTAGGCTTTTTTTTTTGTCATAACATATACACTTTAAATCTTAAAATAACATTATAGTGATGGTCAGTTTAATCGGACCGAGACGGCAATTTTATTTATAATAATTCCTGTAGACTTGTAACCTCTCCGTCCTCTATATGCTTTGATTCCATTATGACTGTACTCAACTGTAATAGTCCCCTCGGATAAAATCTCTTTCGAATTAACACTTTGATGCTTTTTTGTAAATACAGCACCTCAATTAAATAATTTTTTATAATGCTGGTTTACACTGTGCTTGGTTTGGACTGTACTGGCTTGAAAATACTAACTACTGATTTGCATCGAAGCGTTTATTCTAAAGTGATTTTATCACTTTTAGATTTAAAAATTCCTCTAAACCTGTGACCTCCCCGTCCCCACTATGCCCCGACACTGTGCTGGGTTTTTAAAATTGCAAATTTAAAACTCATAACCATAAATGTTAATTTATTATATACAACCATAAATTGCTCAAGTTTTTTCTACATTATACAATTATTACATTTTAGCGAAAGCCCACAGATCAAAGATACTACTGTGTGTAAATTAAACTATGTACTCGATGCCATACTGGCAGTAGTAGTGTTAATGATAAATCTGCTATTCGTTTAAACGGTCAATCATTATTTCGCGGAGTTTGAATTTCTGAATTTTGCCAGAAGCCGTTTTCGGGAAGTCGTCCACGATCATCACGTGGATGGGGACTTTGAACCTGGCTATCTGCAATAGGTACATAAAACGCACGTTTATGCTTTTCAAACCACTCTCGTTTTCCAGTTGAGACAATAATTAATAACGATAAATAACTCACGTTGCCGTAGCAAAATTTTTGTACGCCAATCTCGTCGAGCTTGGAATTTTTTACAGTTTTTACTGCAGCGCAAACCACTTCGCCGAGCCTTTCGTCCGGTATACCGAACACCTATGAAAACAAAAGGGTAAAATACAGGATAAAAAAAATCAGTTTAGCTTCCACCCCTTCTGTCTCCATAGCTGAGCGCGACAGGAGTGAAAATATTGTAGAAAGGGTAAATATTTTTGTTCGGGATAGGCACGACCCATTTTATATAGACCTGAAAAAGAGTACATAACCGCCCCGTCGTCTACTGACCTGAGCCTGGACGATTTCTGGATGAGTTTCCAGAAAGTACTCGATCGTCTGCGGTTCTATGTTTTCTCCGCCTCGAATTATGATGTCTTTTATCCTGCCCGTGACCACACCATATCCGTCTTCGCTCAATGTGAATACGTCGCTGTATTTTAATTAACACAAGGCCATCGAGTAGTATGATAATAATATCATAAACACGTTTGTCGTTATCGCTATTGAGTAAGCCTACCCCGATCGAAGCCATCCGTCGTCGTCGATGGTCTTTCTTGTCATTTCCACGTCTTTCCAGTAACCCGGCATGACGTTGTACCCTTTGAAACAAGCCTCTCCCGGAGTACCCATAGGCACCACGTCGCCGTTTTTGTCCACGACTTTCACCTACAAACACAAAATCATCGTCCATAATATTAGGATTTTAAAACGTGTTCGTTTTGTTGAGCTTCCTCTGTTAACATCTATCTATGTTTATCGGCTAATTTTAATTGAAGCATAAGTATGTTTTTAACCAATCAATAATCCTTTATCAGTTATTCATTATTTACCACTCTCCCTTTATTAACAATCACTTCTCAGTATTTCAGTAATCCATTTTAATGTCAGCAAAACACTGCAATGTAATAATGTGAACTTACTTCGCAATGATCGATGACTTGGCCAACGGTTGTACACGTTTTGTCTTCGGAATCGTCTGGATTGGAAGCAAAGACAATAGGACTGGTTTCTGTCATTCCATAAGGACACTAAAATGCAATATACTTATTATGAATATATTTGTACACGTTATGATATCAATACTAATTATAACAATGGCTATCACTATGCACCAGAGAATACAATATTAGTTATTACCAGTAAACGTCCGACATTTAGAACGGTTTTGATTTGCTTAAGCAAATGTGGAGAACACATAGCTCCCGCGCAAACTGCTATTTCCGGTGTTGTAAAAGTATATCCTTCCTGTAGGAGTTCTTTGGAAACGCAAACCAAGTCGACGTACATTGTTGGAGTACCGTACAAAACTGTACATCTAAAAACAAATGATTATAAAAATAAAATGTGCAAAACTGAATAATATTTTTAAATTGCGGTAATAATTAAAAAAACTAACTTTTCGTGTACAATGGCCTTGGCCGCCTCAATGGGCTTATAACCGCAAGTCGGCAATACCAATGTGCTTCCAGTGTGTAGGCTCGCCATGATTCCGCCAACAGTACCGAAAATGTGAAAAAACGGCACTTGCAGCAGAATTCTGTGTTGCTGAGAAAAATGTAATAGTATTTATTTTTTTAACTAACAAAGCATAATCAAGTCTTTGTTCGAAAAATTTAAACGATTATTATCGAAAAAATAAAGGTCCGGATAAAGTTCCAGGCTAAATTTAAGTTTTTCTGTTCACCTAAAAATAAGGCATTTTCTGAATTAAAATATGTATTTCAGTGTTGAACAAACAAGTTTTTATTGACCATCTCTATGAAAATAATCTAAAATTTGATATTTTCCCAAACATTTATCCGGTCTTTTTTAAAATGTGTCAGTTCATTATTGACTCCTTCATGTTACCTTTTGCTTGTCGAGCACTCTTTTACTGATGAAGTACGAATTGTTCACGATATTGTAATGTGTTAGACACGCTCCTTTTGGGGAACCAGTGGATCCCTGTAACAGTAATTATAATACACAAAAACACTTTTTTTCATTTATCTCATTGGTTTTGTTTATTTTTACAAATAAACAGTAC